CGCTCTCCTGTAGATCATGTCCGTCATGTTGTACAACTTGCTGTTCAGCGTTTCGCGAAGTGACGGACATTTCATCTGTCTTATCATAGCTCATACCCGCAGCGACTAAGTCGCCGGGTTCATCAGAAGACCATGCTTCTGGCTGATATAAGCCCGCTTCGACTATGTCGCGGCTTTCGGCTGATAACCAGTCTTTCCTCTGAGAATCGGGGTAAGATGACAAAGGAATTAAGGTCTCATGTTCACTCTGCTCAGTGGGAGAGGGTACGGGATGAGACGTTGATAAGACAAGTAACCGGTAAGCAAATTTACTCTATCAGGAATAGTAAGTGGGGTGGCCGGTCGGCCGACGACACGACTACGACGCGGGGACGACCCCGCGGCGCGCGCGTCCGAACCAGCACGCACCTTTTATCTCCTGTGAGCAAACACAGCTACGGAAGATCACCGCAAGCATAGTCAGACAGTGCGCAGCAAGGCAAGCGATGTGAAAAGCAACATGAATATGAGGCGGAGAGGAGCTTATTTACTTTTCGCCCTTCTGCAATCCCAAACCAGCCGACTCTTCTCGACACTCTGGCAAGTCACGTCGAGGCTCTTCATCACCGTGAACACCCCAACGCACTCCCTGACCGTCTTGACATAGCCCACCATACCCGACTGAACCATTCGTAGAGTGAGGTCCAGCTTGTTCTCCTGTCGTCTCCACCCTGGGTCCGTGTAGCTCCTGGTATTCTCGTAGCGCTCCCAGTCGACCTGGCCCACGTTTCGGATCATCTCGTTCCCGTATTCGTTGATGTAGCGCGACATTGGACAGGTTGCCGATGGAGAGGCCCTTCGTCTCGCATGGTGGCGCTGAGACCTGCTCCGCCACCAGCAGGCACAGGTCTCCTTGGATAATATCCTTCTCGAATCCCTTTTCGCCTTCTTCGTGTTCGAGCTCGGGTAGCCCGAGACTCCTTCGCCTCCGAGGCGGCTGAGAACCGCCCTGCCGGCGTTGATGGTCCCCCAGCACTCCGATTGGGCGTGCCAATCCCACAGGTCGTGGATGATGGTAGTCTGCAGCGGGGTCGCCTCCCTCCACTCCCGCCAATCCCTCCGTCTTCTCCGTAGATGCGCCTCCTGCCCATGGCCGCCACCCCCCTCTGAACTCTCACGAGCGTCAGCTGCAGCTTCTGCTCGTCTAGGCCCTGAGAGGACGGCTGGGCAGACAGCGCTCTCGGCGGGAAAGGTAACGTTCGAAGCGGATCGCGTTTTCCCCCCTCCATCCTCCACGTGGGTCGGGAACACCAGGCGCTTCGCGCCTCGACGCTGCAAAATAGTGTCGTTGTCCAGGAGGGCGGTGTCGAACACGTTCGCCTCCGACCGGAAGAAAAAGGCTCCGCCCCAGTAGGCCGACACCAACGGGGACGCAGCCAAGCACCAGCCCGCTGTCTCCAGAGGCGCAGAGCTTCCTGACGAGTGGACCACCGTCGGCAGCCAGAGGAGCCGCTTCGCGATCCCAAGCCGTGGTCTTGCACTCCACGCGCGCACTTGACCAGGGCTTGCCACGGGAGCCCCGGCCGCAACCTATTCGCGATCCGCACCCGCATCGTGCCCGTCTTTCGAGCCTTGCAGGTGCTTCACGATGGGCGCCCTCCTCTTCAGCTTCTCCGTCAGCTCGTCGCCCGCCTTGAGGTACTCCCCGGCCAGCGCCTAATCTACCTTGGAGCGCCACTTGCCGCCGCCCTGCTGGTTCTCGGGGCGCTGCCAGTCGCTCAGGCACTTGACTTTCTCGTAGGCCTTCCAGATGGAGTAGAGCCTCAGGCAGGTCAGCTCCGCCGCGGGACTTTTGATGAGCTGCTCGTGGGCACCCTCCGACATCATACGATCCAACATCATCGCCAGCATCATGACCTCCGTGCTGACCGACGCCCGCTGCAGCTCCTTCGACCTCAGCCACTCGCCAAGCTCGACCTTGGCCGTCCTACCCGAACGGTACAATTTCTGAAGGACCGTCGGGGCCACCCTCGTCCTGACGCCGCCCACGGGCGCCATCCGCACGTTCTTGAACTTCTCGAGGGTGGCCAGCAGCCCGGCACGCGGGTTACGACTCTCGTCCTTGAGCAATTGGATGCGCTCCGCGCTCCTACAGCTCGATGTCCTGCCCCACTGGCCCCCACGAACCCAGGCTGTCCGTGGAGCGGGCAGGCGACCCAGACCCAACGGTGGCCCGAGTGGAGTCCTGCTGGACCGCGTGCTCGTGCTCATTGCGCTTCGCGATGAAGTCGTCGATCTGGCTGGGCGTCGGGTGCGGGTCCTTCTCGGAGCCGACCCCCTTGTCCGACCCGCTGCCCAGCGAGGCCGCGCCAGGGGATCCAGCCTCCGAGACGTGCTCCGAGACGCTCCCCTGGGACCCCGAGCCCTGCGACCCACCAGGGGCCGCCCGAGGGTTGCGCACCACGCCCGCCAGCTCCGCCACCGCTCTCTGCAGCTTCTGCTGCCGGTTGGTCAGCTCCGCGAAGAGGCGCCGCGGTGAGGAGGCTCCTCCTCCTCCTCCTCCTCCTCCTCCTCCTCTTCCTCCTCCTCCTCCTCCTCCTCCTCCTCCTCCCCTCCTCCTCCTCCTCCTCCTCCTCCTCCTCCTCCTCCTCCTCTCTCCTCCTCCTCCTCCTCCTCCTCCTCCTCCCCCTCCTCCTCCTCCTCCTCCTCCTCCTCCTCCTCCTCCTCCTCCTCCTCCTGGGGACCACATCCTGGGTCCCCAGGATGTGGTCCCCGTCATCGTCGCTGTAGCTCGAGCCTTCCTCAGAGCCTTAGTCGTCCGAACGGCCGCCGTGAGTCCGCGCCCAGCTCGGGCAGCCCAGGACCGCGATGCTCCCCACCACGGCGGCCAGGCACTCCAGCTCGCCCGTCTCGCAGTATTCCCAGACCCAGTCGAAGGCGTTCTGCACGTCCTCGACGGTCGCATAGAAGGACTCGGCCGCATCGTCACCTGCCCGCGCCAGCGAACCGCGCCGGAAGAACGCCACGGCCGCCACAACAAGGTTGAGATGGCTCCCCACGAACCGAAACTCCTCTTGGCCCACAGCGCCGTGAAGACGTCCCCGACGCCGCTGGCCACCCCGCTCACGAGCCCATTGCGGCTGTTCTTCTTCTTCTTCTTCTTCTTGCTGCTGTTTTCCTTGCTCGTCTTCATGGTACCGCCCTCATCCTCGACCTCCAGGCGCGCGATGGCCCGCTCTGCTGCGTGATGATGGCATCCTTCTCCTTCGTGCTGACGCCCTCGTGCTCCGTCCACGTAACCGTCGCCAGCGGCTTGCTGAGGACCCTCTTCTCGTCGCGCACGTCGACCACCTAGATCCGCTTCGTTCCGTCGACCACCGCCCAGGTTCCAGGATGCTTGGGCCCGACCTTTGTGACCAGCAGCATCATCGTCCCAGTGGACTGGCCGTCGTGACGCACGTAGATGCGGTGCCAGCGGGCCCAGGGCGCCATCGGGAACCTCGAAGCGTTCGCGCCCCTGGAGGAGACGGGCTCGTCCTCCGCAGCACGCTCCCGCAGGCCCTCCGGGGGCGGCGGGAGGAGGCTCCCCAACCCGCCCTCGGGCACGAGGCGGTGGAGCTCCTGGGTCAGGAGGAGGGCCGCGGCCACCCGCCACCCGCGCGCCGGGGCCCTGGAGATGGCGCCCGTCGGGCGCAGATCGGAAGCAGTCTGGTGCCTCGGCTCAGAGGCTCTGGGCTCGCTGGAGCCTGCAACCCTTTGTGTCGAAAAACTGCGAGCCAGAAAGAGCGCAAGCGGGCAAGCATGCGTAGGGACAACAAACCTACAAACGGGTGTTTATTTTCCGGCCTATCTGAACAGGCAAGATAGGATACAACATACACGGCCCTGACCCACGGCAGTGCACACATAAACGCTCGTTTGAAAACATGTGCGCCTGCCACGCCCCGCGACCCTGGCAGGGATAGAGACCGCGGTGAGGAACCACCCCCTGCGCACCCCGTGCCACGCCTACCACGCCCCGCGACCCTGGCAGGGATAGAGACCGCGGTGAGGGACCACCCCCTGCTCCCCCCCCTGTGGTAAAGAGAAAGTGCCACGCCTGCCACGCCCCGCGACCCTGGGACGGATAGAGACCACGCTCAGGGACCACACCCTGCGCAACCCAGGCTGTATGGGGACGCGTGTCACAATGTGGGTGATGGGATGTATGATGCGTGTACGGCTGTATGTGGCCGTGCGTATCATGTGGATGCCCAGTATGTAGCGCATACGTCTTGCTGCATGATACACTCGACACGCACTGGCGTTGTGTGGTGTGTTTGTGTGGGAGTTTGTGCACGCGTGCGGCTGTATGTGGACGCGTGCCTCATGCACGTGCCGTGCATGTGTTGCGCGTGGGTGCGGGTAGGAAGAGGAGGAGAGGAATGGGGGAGGCGGGCGCGACGCGGGTGCAACGCGGGATGGAGGTCAGCATGCTTCACACTTGCGCTGTATGGTGTGCGCTCGCTGTCTGATGTGCGTGCGAGTGCGGGTGGAGGTGAGGATGAGAGGGTGTCATTGAGGAACGCGGTTGACGCCGGGTGGGAAGAAAACCAGAAGCCCACTTAGCATGTGGGGAAAACACTTGCCTTCGAGGATCGAAGGAGCTGCCATCTCTTCCGCGGCGCAAGGCAGAGGAAGTGAAACGAGGCCGGCTCCGCCGGCGGAAGCTGGCGGAAGCTCGGCGGGAGCCGGCGGATCAAACATTTGCATGCAAAGAGATGACAGCATTCTTGGTTCAGGGTTTCCGAAATCGGCCAGATCAATGCTTCCCCGCTTGAGCTGGTCCCACCCTCGGAGGGCACCAACTATACACCAACACCGATCCTGGCCCAGGATCACCCTGGGCCCAGGATCGGTGTATATGCCTTCTTGCCCAAGGCAGGAGGGCGTATACACCGATCCTGGGCCCAGGGTGATCCTGGCCAGGATCGGTGTTGGTGTATAGTTGGTGCCTTCCTACCCCTATCATTCTCCCGCAGGTGCTGGGCCGGGAGGTGCTCCGCGGTCTACTCAGAGATCCCCCAGGCTCATGATGTTCCAACCCACTTTCGCCTGGAGTGCCAGAAGGATTTTCGGGCGCCAGGAAAGTATCGAAACTGGACGGTTTTCGCGTGTCGGACCTTGGGAGGCGATACTCGTTCGGTTCTTCGCCAGCGTGTCGGGCAGTCACTGTTTCGATATTTTTCAGGGTGCTCGGGATTATCCGTCAGGGCTTCGCCCCCTGCCGCCAGCCCCCCATCTATCACAATGGGATAACAGAGTTGCGTCAGTGCTTCTCGGCGCTGCCTTGGCGCATCTGGGAACAGCATGCGGGGGCGGATAGGCGTCATCAGCGCATATTGAAGCGTTGGCGTTATCGAAGACGCCTACGGCGAGTCACCGCCGCCCCCTGCCCTTTCGGAAGCGCCTATGTGGCCGAACGTTGAGGCCAGAGCCCTGCCAAGCTATCGGATCATGTGTTCCCCGAATCGGTTTGGAAAGCCTTCAGGTAACACGTGGGCATCTTGAAGGTCATCTTGGTCGTCTGGAGGCCATTTTGACCCTTTCGGGCCTTCTTGGAGGACGTCTTGGCGGGCTCTTGGGCCGTGTTGGAGGCCTCTCGCAGGCCTTTCGGGCAGTCTAACGCCATCTTGAGGCCATCTGGGGCCGTCTTGGGTGCATCTTGGGGCCATCTTCGCTGTCTTGGAGGCCTTCTTGGCCGTCTTGAAGGCATCTTGGAGGCCATCTCGGCCGTCTTGGATGCTATCTTCGGCGTCTTCGGGGCCATCTTGGGCCGTCTTGGGCTCTTCTTGGGGCCCTCTTGGGGGCCTCTTGGGCTGTCATGGGGCCGTCGTCTTGGAGGCCTCTTGGGCGCTCTTGGGACGATGTTGGGGGCCTCTTGAGCCGTCGGAGAGCTGATAAGAAGAAAATGCGACAATCCTTCAAACACCTAAGGAAAATCAATCAATTCGGGCCTTTCTGGAGGACGTCTTGGAGGCCTCGTGGGCGCCTCTTGGCCAGTCTTAGGCCATATTGGAGCCATCTTGGGCCGTCTTGGAGGCTTCTTGGACGAACTTGAAGGCATCTTGGACCATCTTGGGCCGTCTTGGAGGCTTCTTGGACGAACTTGAAGGCATCTTGGACTCTCTCGGGCCGTCTTGGAAGCCATGAGGCCATCTTGGGCCATCTTGCCCGTCTTGGAGGCTTCTTGGAGTCCATTTGCGGTCATCTTGGGCATGAAAGGTGTTGACATGTGCAGTTTGGGGTCTCTTCGGGTGGTCGGCGGGACGGGCCAAAGTCCCAGTAAGTTTTCTAATTGAAGTCGAAAGGATCTAGCACGCTGGGCACCCCTGTGATCACTCAACAGGGGGCGGCGGGTCGAAGACGCCTGCGGCGAATCACCGCAGCTCCCTGCCTTTTTGGAAGCGCCTGCGTGGCCGAACACTGGGCTTGAGCTTGGTCGAGCTATCGGGCCGCGCGTTCCCCGAGTGGGTTTGGAAAGCCTTCGGGGAACACCGAGTCGGGCGAGCTATCGGACCAGGTGGTGTCCCAACTTTCGGGCCTCCTGGAGGACGTCTTGGAGGGTTCTTGGGCCGTCTTGGAGGCCTCTGGCGGGCCTTTTGGCAGTCGGAGACCATCTTCAGGCCAGCTTGGGCCGTCTTGGGTGCATCTTGGGGCCATCTTCATTGTCTTGGAGGCCTTATTGGCCGTCTTGGAGGCATATTGGATGCCATCTTGGCCGTCTTGGATGCTATCTTCGGCGTCTTCGGGGCCATCTTGGGCCGTCTTGGGGCCTTCTTGGTGCCGTCTTGGGGGCCTCTTGGGCTGTCATGGGGCCATATTGGATGCCTCTTGGGCGCTCTTGGGACGAAGTTGGGGGCCGCTTGGGCCGTCTTGGCCCGTCGGAGAGCTGAGAAGGAGCCAGAGCCACAATCCTTGAAACACCTAAGGCAATTCAATGATGTTGGCCCTTTCGGGCCTTTGGGCCGTCTTGGAGGGCTCTTGGGCCGTCTTGGAGGCCTCTTGCGGGCCTATAGGGCCGTTGTTAGGCCATCTTCAGGTCAGCTTGGGCCGGCTTGGGTGCATCTTGGGGCCATCTTTGCCGTCTTGGAGGCCATCTCGGCCGTCTTGGAGGCATATTGGATGCCATCTTGGCCGTCTTAGAGACTATCTTGGGCGTTTTGGGGGCCTCCTGAGCCTTCTTGGGGCCGTCTTGGGGGCCTCTTGGGCTGTCATGGGGCTATCTTGGAGACCTCTTGGGCGCTATTGGGTCGGTGTTGGAGGACGTTTGGGCCGTCTTGGGCAGTCGGAGAGCTGAAAAGGAGCTAAAGCCAAAGTCCTTCAAACACCTTCAGGAACGTCAATGAGTTTAATCCTGTCGGGCCTTCCTGGAGGACGTCTTGCAGGGGTCTTGGGCCGTCTTGGAGGCCTCTGGCGGGCCTATAGGGCCGTCTTAGGCCATCTTCAGGCCATCTGGGGCCGTCTTGGGTGCATCTTGGGGGCATCTTGGCCGTCTTGGAGGCCATCTTGGCCGTCTGGGAGGCATCTTGGAGGCCATCATGGCAGTCCTGGGGGCCATCTGGGGCTTCTTGGGGGGCCTCCTGGGCCGTCTTGGTGCCTTCTTGGGTCCGTCTTGGGGGACTCTTGGGCCGTCCTGGGGCCGTCTTGGAGGCTTCTTGGGCACTCTTGGGGCGATCTTGATGGCCTCTTTGGCCGTCTCGGGCCGTCGGAAGGCCGAACAGGAGCAACATCCAAAACCTTTCAAAAACCTAAGGAACATTTATGATCTGACCTCTTCGGGCCGTCCTTGTCGGGGTGGGGCGTATCCGACGTGTCGCGGGATGTTTCCCAAGCAAGCGTCCACGACCCGCCATATTTTTTACAGTCAAGCTACCATCACAAGGAACGCCGAATCAGGAACGACGGTTTTCTGGGGCCCAGAGGCTCCCACGTCACGAGAAGCGCTAGGCAGAAGACCTTACACGGCACAGTCAATTGGTGAAGCAAGAGAGGACGCAGAAGTCGAGCGCAGTTCGATATGGCCGTATCCGAACTTTGGTGCCATCCGAGTCTGGACTGAATCTCCACTGGGGCGTGACACCTTCGCGCGGCTGGTGGAGCTCAGCTGCATGCGGGCCAGCGCCACAGCCTATTGCTGGCGGTCTTCCTCTTCGCGCGTGAGCGCAGAACCCGCCATTATGTAGCATGATCTGTTCAACGCGATGCGTGTGAGCACCATTCCATTGCAGTTCGAGTGCGCTCGCATGCGGTCGGTGCATGGCGCGGTTGCGCCATATGTCATATATACAACTTTCAGTGCGACCGCCGTGCCAGAGGGTCATTTTCTACGACTTTGGCACAACGTATAACGACACGGTTGTGCGTTCACCCCAGATGTCTCTGACTAGGAGTTTCTGACCGCGCGTTCACGCGTGGTTCCAGCGTGACGGTCGTGATGGCTCGATGTTACCACCAATTCACGTGCGCAGCGAGTTTCCACCTTCTTGCAGCCCGAATTCGGTCCAACGGTACATTGTCGCGGCGATGCTCGCTTACATTTGGTACGTACCCTCCTTCAGCTAGTCGGTTCCAAGGGATACGCGCAGACTTGTGCACTCAGCGTCGTAGGTGTGTCTTCGTTGTACAGGTGTAAGGATATGCAACGGTACCTCGTTGGAGCAATTCGCATTCAGGCCCCTCACAGTGGAGGACAGGTTTTCTCTTGCCGCTGCATCTCTGTATGTGCTGAATGTCCAGCAGCGCGCCCCGATCTGCACCTCAAGCACGCGCTGTTTCAAATCGTGCTGGCGATTCGAGTGCTCCCCAAGATTCGCTTTCGCAGCGGATCGCCATCCCATTGCAGCCCGAATGCGATCGCAGGAAGCATGGCCGCTGTTACGTCTGTTCGCACCTCGCCCATATTGCGGGTGTGAAGGGATTTGTGCATAACGATTTGGTCAGCGTCACAGCGTATCGTGCCGAGTGGCCAGCATGCCATCGGGAGAATGGCCACGACAGTTGCACAGAGTGGTAGGGTTACTCTACAATCATGTGGATGATGCCTGGTGGGCGCAAACACATGTTACAAGAAACGCCAGAGGAACAACCATGGAGGGACCCAAGGAACAGCGAGCCCCTTCCGACCCCGAACTTGTTTCAGCGCCGTGGTTGTGCAGTCGAGGCGCTGGCAGCAACCACTTCGGGCTCAGGAGGGGCGCTGGCTGCCGGGCCGTCCCTGAGTTCTCATGAGGACAGAAAGTCCACTTTGGGCCCAGCAGAAAGAAACTCCGTCGTTCCTCATTCGGCGTCCCTTGTGGGAGCACGGTGATGGCATTCCGCGAGGGCCAAATAACAACACAAGCATAGACACTGGGAGGTTCGCGCTGGTCTCTTGGATTGGGGGGGGCCAGCGCCGATCCAAAAAATCCGCGCCGACCCCCCTGATCTTGTGCTTGTGCAGTTTCTGGTGTCTCTAGCTCCCTTTTCTCAGGCTGGGTCACGATCCTGGACTACGACAGCGGGGAGCGCTGGGCCCTGGCCATGAGCTCCGCGCAGGGCTGAGGCCACGCTGCCCCTGCTGGGCGCGGAGGGCGAGCCCGTCCGCGCCGCCCCGCGCGGTCGCCGCCTCGGGATGCAGACCAGGGCTTGCGGTCAAAACCCGAGACATCCGACGATAGATGGAGGAGGAGGAGGAGGAGGAGGAGGAGGAGGAGGCGAAGGAGGAGGAGGAAGTTGAGAGGGGAGGAGGAGGAGGAGGACGATGGGATGGAGGATGCAGGGAAGAGGAGGAGGAAGAGGTGGAGGATGAGGATACAATTGGTGACGATGATGAGGATGATGATGCTGTTGATGATGATGGTGATGATGATGATGATGACGTTGATGATGATGATGATGTTGTTGATGATGATGATGATCATGATGATGACGATACTGATGATGGTGATGAGTCATTCCTAACGCTCACCTCGCCTATTTAAGCTGCCCTGCCCGTACCTTTTAACATAGGGTGGGCAGGGATAGAGAGACGGATGCGGGAACGCCCGCAGCTACATGCTTGCCCAAGGCAAAAGAGTGCGCGCGCGGCCTCACTCCCTCTAGGCCGACGCACACAAACGCACATACGCCACCTAGAGTAAGCCCGCTTAACGGACCTACCAGCCGTGTGCTCTTCAGTTCGCGGGGACCTATCAGCCTCCCTTGAGCATGACGACCACGAATATCAATAACGATAACATGAAGAACCGATTAACCTAAAGAAGCCTTTGCCCAATCCAGCGATGGATAGGCATCACATTGGTTATCAACCGGAAGTTCTTCCACGAGACCCGGAGGCCATGCCTCCCATAATTGATGATGATGATGATGATGATGATGATGATGATGATGATGATGATGATGATGATGATGATGTTGATGATGATATATATATATATATATATATATATATATATATATATATATTCGGAGTTCCCGAACAACCGCATGGCTTAAGAGAAACAGGCAAGGTCACCTTCCTCCACCCCGACAGTGTCAGGGCTCCTACACTACGCTCTGCACAAATTGCTAGCTAGCATGAACACCCCAGTCTCTGTTCAGACAGCGATGAACAACCTGGTCGACAGGACACGCCCAGGCCGATAGACGGCCCCAGCCCGGGCGAGGAAGCGCGGTCGGTATCGAGCCGAGGGGCTGAGCCTCGTCCCATCGATGGCGTTCATCACATCACCTTTTCTGCGTTCCGCGCACAGCGCGGGGAACGGAGAACCACAAATGGAGATCTCGTCAGAAGACGGCTATCTGCGCGCATCCACTTCCCGATTGTCGGCCACGGCCTCCCGGCCCCGCTGGCCCGGCGGGCGTCGGCCGACCACTGGTCTGGGTGAGTCGCCGAGTTGCGACGAGGAAATCTCGTCGGGTTCAGAACGCGGCACGGTTGACTATGTCCCACCTTCGCAGGATGTTGCGCCTCCGTTGCGCCCGCCCGCAGCGCAACAATCAAGGGGCGGAGTGAGCTTGTCTGTGAGATCCCCAGTGATCAAGGGAAACAGGACAGGCGACGCGCAGGATGATACGGATGACTCGAGGCTGGAAGGCAACGCAGAGGGCGGCGCCCCCGGCTCGGCGCCCCCGCCTCCCAACATCTTACAGTCGTGGCGAGAGGGAAGGCTCGAAGCGAGCCCGCCCCAATCCGCGATACTGCGGACTCGTTCTCCGAGGGTCCTCTCATTCAGCTTGCGCGGCTCGATCGACTACCTCCAGTTACCGCACCGTTGACGAATGTTTCCGCGAAGGGCACAGTTGCGCCGAGCCCCCCCGGGTTTCGATGACCCGGGAGCCGTGGACAGTGCGAGACAGCCGTTTGCGGGGCGCGCTCCGTGAGCTGCCCGCTCTGGAACCAGCTGTTCCTTTGCCCGGTTGCTTGCCTCCTCGCGCGCGCAATTGCCCCGCGCCCCGCCGCCGCGAGCGGGGGGGATGATGATGATGATGATGAGGAGGAGGGGAAGGAGGAGGAGGAGGAGGAGGAGGAGGAGGAGGAGGAGTCAGAAGAGGAGGAATCGGAGGACGAACAGAAGGATGAGGACGACGACGATGAAGATTGAGGTTTGACTGTAAAAGTGTTTTGGCACCTGCATCGTCCGATTTAGCCTGCGCAGGGTCGGTCGCCACAAACTTGGTCGGGACATGGTTATCCTCCTCTTCTTACTCCTTCCTTTTCCTCCTCCGTTTCTTCTCCTCCTCTTCTCCTCCTCCTCCTCCTCCTCCCCCCCTCCTCTTGCTGCTCCTCCTCCTCCTCCTCCTCCTCCTCCTTCTCCCCCTCCTCTTCTCCTCGTCCCCCTAGCGTGGGTGCGCGCGCGCGACGTCGCGCCCCTTTGCAATTTTAACACAAGTACCTTTATCGAGACAGCGGGGGTGCACGCGCGCGACGTCGCGAAACCTTACAATCTAACCTAAAGTTATATTTAGCCCCGTTGATGTAGCAACGGAGCGACGGCAGGGCCGTGGCCTGTATGCCTTTGCGAAATGCGCACACGAAGGTGAGAAGATTGCCGCGCCTGCTACCCCGATTGAGGGTTCGAAACACATGCGTCAACGCGCCTCGCCATGACCATCGGCATCACCAGCGCAAACATGACAATCCCCGCCGACATCGCATTGCACCGCGACGCACGGCTTGTGCAGAGTGTGGAAATATATCTCTCGCTTGATACATCATCACAGCTGTTTAACATATGTGGTTCATCATCGACATCATGAGGGAAAACGGGATGCGAAGCTATTAGCTTTCGGATGCGTTCCAAACGCGCAAACACATGCATCCCGTTTTGGTGTGCATGCAACCTCTGGGCAAGCTCAGGGCCCTTCTGCCAGTCCCGCGAAGGCTGAACCCAGACCGGACGGGCCCTGCGCTGGGCCGCAACCCTGGGAGGTCATGGCGGGGTGGGAGGAATGCCCAGCGAGCAACGCGGAAGCGGGGCCCGTGGTTTCTGCGGCCACCCACATGGAGCGCAAAGCTTGCCGCCAGGGCCCAGCGGCGCGGGATGCCACCCCGCGCGCGGGTAAGCGGGCGAGCACCAGGTACCCAGCTTACCCCCCCATCTTCCAGCAGGCCCTCAAGCTGCGCGAGGAGGAGGCGGGCCCGGCCCCCGCGGAGCTCTCCCAACGACCGGCCTTCGCCTGGGGCCCGCGCTTCAAGGAGGTCTTCGCGGGCAGCGCGCGCGTGCAACACTCAGGCGGCCCAGGCGGTGGGCGTCCCGGCCGACGAGCCCCTGGAACTCTACGAACACCCGGGCCGCCCCGTGGAGCGGGAACGCAGGGAGGACCGCGACGTCGCCCGGCCAGAGGTGAGGGGGCGTGTCCCGGTACAGGCGCGAGCCACGCCAGAACCAGGGGTCGCTATCATCTGGATGTGTGAAAACCCCTGCACTTCCTTCTCGGATCACAACACCGCAACCGGAGCGCGGACGTGGGAGCAGCCCAAAGGAGGCGGCGCCAGCCCGACGGAGGTGCAGGGCAACCTGTTCGCGGAGCTCACGCGCGACTGCGCCCGGGCCCTCCGCGACCAGGGGGGAGTGGATCTGCAAGGTCCAGGCCCACCAGGGCATATACCCCAAGGTCTACGACCTCCCATGCCTCCAACGAATGCTGGAGCACATGGGAGCGGTGATCATGCAGGGGTCCACGTGCGCTTGGGGGCTGTGCCCCTCGGACCGTGCATCCTGGGACCAGTGCTACCGCAAGGACTACTGGCTTGTGGCGTCAAGGTTTGCTCACGTTCCTCGCCCACTTCGCCCGACCTTGCCTAGGTGTCCAGGAGGGCAAGCACGCTCATGTGGAGCTGCGGGGCAACGCCCAGAGAACGGGGGCCGAGCGGACGCGGCTGGCAGCGCAGTGCCACTCGGTGTTCGCTCGGGCCATCGCCCAGGGGCTCCGCGAGGCCACGGGCCTCGAACCCACCCGGCCCGCCCCGCGCCGCGGGGGGGCGAACCCCAGGGGCCGAGCCAGGGGGGCCGCGCCCAGGGGGGGCCCTCGAGGACCGAAGAAGGGAGAGGGGGGGGGGGCGGCATTGCGAGGGAAACCCCAAGTACATTCCCTTGGCCGTCCGAGAAGGGGCCAGGCTGGGGGGCGGGCTGGTGGCCTCGGCGAGGGGCTGGGGGCAGCGGCGGCGGAGTGCCGCAAGGCCTGGGCCTGCTGTCGTGGCAACAACCTGGATGGGGGTACTGGGCGATGACCTGGGAGTGCTACTGACTATTGGATAGGCTTCTTCGAATACAGTCGGGGCCCTGAAGAAGGGGCCCTTTTCGTTGGAGAGGGGCTCCGCGTTCCTTCCTTATGTTTTCGATCGGAAATCGAAGTTTAACTTATGGAAAAAAGGGGTCTCGTTCCTTATTTTGGGTTCCTTGTCAAGGCCCCGTCTGCATCTCTCGGGAGATGGTCGAGGAGGGGGCGCCGTCGAGGCAGCCGCTAGTCAGCGCGAGGGCCCCTTCCCAACCCCGCGAGAAGGTCCGGGGGCGCATGGGGGAGGTGATGGGGGAGCTCTGGGAAAAAACGCAAAGAAGGGTCGGGTGCTCCTCTGCGCCAGGGATTCGGAGCCCTACTTCCAGGGAGCGATGTCCTTGCTGCGGGGAAGGGCCCCGAGGATGAGCCCGGGCCGAACGGCGTCGGAGGAGGGGCGGTTCATCCGCGATCAGGAGGCGATGAATGAGTTGGGCCACGAACGCCCCCGCGCCCCGGCCCTGCAGCCGCGGCGCCAGGCGCTGGCGAGGGAGATCCCGCGGTGGAAGAGCCGCCGCCCGGACAGTTCGAGAAAGCTCGCGAAAAGGGGCGTCGCGGAGGCTTTCCAGCGCATCTGGGCTCGCGCGCAGGACGCGGGGATGTTCGCAGCAGAGTTACTTGGAAAGACGCTCGGATGGACGGCGACGTGATCGCGATCTACTTGGTGCTGACCTTTTCGGGGGGATCGGAAGCCCAGGGGGTGCGTGGCCGTCGGGAATGCGCCGATGCAGCATCGCGACTGGCAGCGCCCCGAGCGCCTCGAGTGGCGCGACGAGCCGCCCCCG